TTTTGCTTGGATTCCTCTTCTTCGCTGCTCTCGTCCCTGTCATCACTATCGTCGCTGTCGTCACTGTCGTGCTGGCGCTTTCCATCTTCGGTATCCTCGTCTTCCTCGTCCTCATCCACGTCCTGCCACGTCTGCTCGCCCCACACCTTCACGGTCTTGCCACCGCTGCTAATCATCCTGCCCGTGACATCAAAATCAAGGCCAATGACGCTTTCCTGGGACAGCTCGTCGTGCTTGAGTTCGGCGACAATCTTATTGGGGCCAATCTTGGCAAATCGAATGTTACCGTTGCCCATACCGACGGCAACAATCTTTCCGCCTGGCCCCACGCCATCAGGCACGACGGCAATGGCGTCAAGGCTTTCGCCACCTCCCTTGGAGCGGTCGATAATGATGCGATCGTCCTGGTCATCCCATACACCGCGCTCCCAAAGGGTAAGGACACCATTGCTGGCGCCAACAACAACCTTCTCACCCACGTTGGAGCCCTTTGTCGACAGGCCGGTGACAATGGCAGAGCTCAGCAACTCCTCCTCTTGGTCCTCGCTACGGACCATGACCCCCCTGCGGATGTCCGTGACGGCCAGTGTGCTGCCACCTGTCGTGACCCATTGCTTGCTGAAGCCGCTTGTACTCGCTTGTGTCGGGGGTAGTGGGGTGAGCGAGGAGACGTAGTCGTCGTGTGGGTGATGCGTGTTCTCTGGCTTGAGGGAGACCTTTTCTCCGCCTTTGAGATTCCTAATGTCGTATATATGCAGTGCTCCAGAGTCGGTGGTGAGGATGAGGGATTGCGGTGACAGGGCGTGGACTAGTGTGGGCGCGTCGATGCCGCCATTGGAGCTATTCCGCCTCAGTAATGAACGATTCGCACAACTTCGCCTCTTGCTACGACTTACGGGTCGAGTGGAATAGCAATCTTGGCGGTCACCTGGCCAGTCATGGAATCCGCAACCTTGACCATGCCATCGGTGCCTGCAGAGATCAACGACGCACCATCGGCGCTGTATGCGAGGGTCCGACAGCTGCCCCTGTGTCGCCTTGTGCGCCAGATGCGGTCGATGGTTCCAAAGCCGCTTTCGGATGCTAATGTCGTGTCATTGTCGTCGTCGTCGCCATCATCGTTTGCGCCGGCAGGGAGGCGGTAGGTATGGACATCGCCATTGGCCAGGCCGACTGCTACGAGTGGCTGCTGGGGATGGACCGTCTGCACAAAAATATCGTGCTCCACAGGGAGAGCACACAGATTCTCGAACATGATTATGCTGTGTAAGGTGGATAAACGGAGAGATGGTCCAATGGGCCGAGGGGATTTCCGTTTTGCGACAGCTTCAACATTTTTAGTGGAGCCGCCGCCGTCAAGCGCATGCAATGGCAGCGACAGCCGCATGGCTTGGCAGGTACCTGGCACGTGACTATATCACGTGCCATAGTACATACTGTACACGCCTGCGACGCGGACTCATTTTATGGACAACCGCTGCATGTCTGCTTTGATCGATCAACGCACCCATCCATTGGATTAATGTACTAGCAAGCGATGCTTGTGGACTCAATGTTCTTCTTGCGGACTGCCGTCCCTCAAGCAGCCTTCATGGCACGCTTGTCTCCATCTCCACCCTTCCTCTCCCTCCCCCTACCTCCAATCACTATTCCGGCCACCTTTATCCTGTCCAACTTCCAGGCCACCATTTAAACATCCCAAAGAAGCTCAATTGCCCCAAGAACCAGGTCTTTGGAGCGCCAGAACGCATAGCGCTACACGGCAAACACGTTAGGAAAAGCATTCGCCTCCAATCATAAGCTCGCCAGAGAACACGCTTCTTTCGCGTCCGAGATTTCCGTCCCAAGGCTCCATTGCCCTATTGGCCCCGACATGCCTACGCCATGTCAATAACAGGAAGGTCGAAACCCTCCCTCGATCCGTCAGGCTCTACAAGGTTAAGCAGCCGAATTCACGTGGGTCACTGATTGGCTGTTACGACCATCCCCGGCTCCTCGCCATCTTCACCGTTGTACAGACGGCACCGTTGCATCCGACATTATGCAGTCTTTTAAAAAGTCGAACAATGGCCTCTCAATCACAATGTCAGGCCCTGCGCTCACTGCAACTCCGACGCAATCTCCAAGTCGCTGACAATGCTTGCTTCGTCGCTCTTGTACGGCCTCTTGGCGGCAGCTTCTGCCGTCAATGCCCACCGCCACTCCAAAGACATCAACTACACTGTTGTTACTGGCATCTTTCAGCAGGATGATAACTCTACCAACCCTGCCACGTTCAACTTCACCGCCAGCAACTTCGGCCTCATCAACCGTACTTACCCAACTGATGCTACCTGTCCGGACGGCAAGAAATCGACCCAATGGCAACGTCTCGCCCACTACATTTCTACCCTGAACAAGCAGTCTGCACGCAACGAGCGCTACAGCCTTGTCTTCATGGGCCGCCACGGCGAAGGCTTTCACAACGTCGCTGAATCCTACTATGGCACTCCGGCATGGAACTGCTACTGGTCCGAGCTTGACGGCAACAGCACCGTCACATGGGCCGATGCAAAGCTTACCGAAGTCGGCGTACAGCAAGCAAAGCTCGTAAACGCATTCTGGCAGCATTTGATCAAGGACGAGAAGATTTCCCCGCCAGAGTCCTTCTACACTAGCCCTTTGTATCGCTGCCTCGACACTGCAAGACTCACCTTTGACGGAGTCAAGCTGTCCAAAAAGACGCGTTTCGTTCCAGTTATCAAGGAGTTTCTTCGCGAAGGCATCAGTGCGCATACTTGCGACCGTCGCCGTACCAAGTCGTTTATCCGCCAAAACTTCCCTTTTTTCAAGTTTGAAAAGGGATTTGCAGAGGAAGACCCTTACTGGACTGAGCTATTCGCTGAGCCCCGAGCGAACCAGGACGCACGCTCCAAAGCCGTGCTTGATGACATCTTTTTCAACGACGACAGTACATATATCTCCATTACCTCACATTCGGGCGGTATTTCTAGTCTGCTACGCGGTAAGCTCTCCTTTGAAACCGGCATTTGTGATGTACCGTCGTACTGACAACATTCTAGTCCTGGGCCATCGCGATTTCAGACTCAGCACGGGAGCCGCCATTCCTGTCCTGCTCAAGGTCACCACCCTAAACACGCGTCCTCCCCCAACAACAACATTACCTTATGACGCCCAAAAGACATGCGCCGTGCCCCCTGCCATCCGCGATTCGAGCTGCAATGACTGTTCTTGCTGCTCATAATATTCCTTCTAGGCTTGATTATGTAGATATTTCAAATACCCTAATTACCGTTTCAGCGCTGACACATACCCCTCTGACTCACTGTACCGTTCTCGGACATGACCATTTCCATATTTCCACATCGCGTATATACTTACAAGTTAGAATCGTGCTCGTACCTCGGCACGCATCTCTGTCGAATCAACCTAACAAGCATAATCCTAGCACATCCATTACCGACGTCATCTGCTACATGGTATCAACCCTGCTATGCCATATTATCTAGCCCGCACCATGCAGAACACCATGTAAGGATACTCCCCGTTGATTGGTACATCTGGTTCGGATCTCTCACCGGTGGGTAAATGTCCATATTTTCCGACCCGAGCATCAAGAGATTCGAATTTTGGATTCAAAACATGTAACATTAAAAATCTATATACGCTGTGCCGTTCATCGATAACGCCTTGACGTTCTGTAAATTGAAGCAACAAGCTTTCATCTATTTGGGATACTACATATCCAGACGAAGGATTATTCTTCTGCCAAGCAACCACGGAAGTGCCGACAGGAGGGATTTTCCACGTGCCTAATCGCTCCAGCCATCTCGTCGTTGCCGTCCCTCTTTAACAACGCATGCAAGCTGCCGCGAACAAATCACAACATATGAAATTAGCCTTTCCCCCCCCCTAAGTAGGGCCAAAAGACGTGTCGCGCGCGCCGTCGCCGCTAGGAGTTTAGCACCCGACGTTGTGTTGCTCCGCCCATGTCCGGTTCAGATTCAGCCCACAAACTGCCTGGGTGGCTGCGCTAGTACACAGTAAGCACGTTGTCACTAGGCTGGCCCATTCATGTCTTGACTCTGCTAACACACTAAATCAACATCACCCGCTAGGCAAACACACCAAGTACAAATATTAAATATACAACCTAAAGACAAGGTTGTGTGCCGATATCGATGTTCATGGTAAATGTCTGAATCGTGGAGCTGTCAGCTCACTGGTCTGATCGGTGGCCGGGATCCGCTCTTTTGGGTGCGCAGACAGTTTGGGATGCGTACAGGCAATCTGGAAGCGGTGCTGTGCCAAATACGAATCAAGGTACTTGATTACTACGCTGTGGTGGGATAATCAGCTACCCGTTGTTTATGCACATGGCCAAAGTAGTTGAAGATACGATTGACATCAGGGACTTGGTTGCCACATGTTTCCAAGTGCTAAGCCTTACTAGGATCAACCTCGTTGCGACCCTTGTACATTGAATCTCACTAGAGAATGTCGCTCCAATACCCTGGGTCTCCAAGATCTACACGTCTGAACTAGGCTGATCGGCTCCAGGCTATCGGTTGGCTTTCAGCTGATTACCACATCGTAGAGTGTGTTACTCAGAAGTTGAATCTATTTCGGAGACTTGACGCTTGATTGGCCAGGATACAATTCATCCCCCATAGAAATTCACCCATGTTACGCCCCAAGTATTTGTCCAAAGAATGTCTGCTCGCTCTCGATAGTTGATGATTATTAGGGTGTCTAATTATGTATGTCGCAGGGGTATATGTAGAAACAATGACGCAAAGGCTGTTGGTCGTGATGATGATAATGTACAGAATTTGGTGGCCAATGTACCCACGTCGCGTTTCTTCTTCATCGTTTCAGTCTGCATCCTTTTTTCGGGTCTGCCGATCGTTGCGCAAATGACAATAATGACCCAGCTAGCGAGTCAAACTGGCTGGTAAGGAGGGACCACAGCTCATGTCGCGGTTATATAGTAGTCGCTACTAGGTATACCCGGTATCATTGTATCCAGCGTATCCATTGATAGGAGTTATACATTCTGCCAGACGCAGCATGAATTCAGTCCCAACACTTCTTTCCATGTTATGGGTACCCATTTTCCAGGGATACGGAGGCACTGCAATACAGCAGTAGTCATTCTTAGGGTTCGCAGCGGCTGGGTACCTGCAGTCGGCAGGGCGTACAATGGCCATCGGATACGGGTATTGGGTTCCAACCTGAAAGAAATCCGACAAAAGGTAGCGGCCGCGATGGAAGGAAGGTTAGGTTTGATACCAAAGGCCACGAGCGTTGTAGCTCGTGCTGTCGAACCTTGAACTATTTGTAGGGCGCAGATATGACCGACCCCCTTTCCTCGTCCGTGATGTAAAATGACTTTGATACCATGATACCATTTGAGAAAATATCCTCCGTGCTACTCCGCGAACTCTTGTTCCTTAGGCTTTGCTCGCTGTCATTATCCGAGTTGTCAACACGAGTGCTCTTCTTGGAGTTGGGCGGAGCGTTTGGGAACCACTGGGGCGACTTTGACTTGCTTCCGGTTTGCATGATTTCATCCTCCGAGGTGCGGGTCTGAACAGTGGCAGAGAGCTTGTACAGGTCTGGGCGGAGCTTATCAGCCTTGGATGCTGTACCAGAGACGGCGGCGTTTGCTGGAAGCGGGGCTGACATGGCGTAGGCTGAAGGGCGATAGGCGGATGGGTTGCGCGTTGATAGGCCGAGCTTGGACATGGCAATGAAGAAGAGTGGGCGGAGTGTTGCAAGACTACCGGCGGTGATAGCGAGACCTTGTTCGACAGAAGACCAGATGGCAATGTCAAGCGTGGACCCTGCAAGGATTAGTGTATGATGGCAACATGGTGCGTCGAGCGCTTACAAAGGAAGTCGGGTGAGTTGAAGAAGTGGATAAAGGGCAGGCGTGCGATTACGGCAGCGCTTGCAATGCAGCCCATGGTAATCAAGGGAATCAGGGCAATCTTTGCCCTCCTCTTTAACTGTAGATGCCAGACCAGGAATCCAGGGATGATGGCAAAAGTAAAGTCGGAAACGATGGAGAAGATGCTGTAGACGTAGCCGAGAGCGGTGATGACGGTATTGTCGATGCACTTTCCTTGTTGCGAAGTGCGATCCCACATGTACGAGATGGGATAGCACTGGAAGAGGCAGACAAAGAAAAAGGTACCCCCGGCGATAACTGAGACGAGCATGGCGATGTAGATGATCCTGACATGATTAGTTGGGTGCCTGATCAGGCCGCTCTTGTGGCAACTCACCATGTGTGGAGTTTACGGATACTGATGCGCAGGAGAAGGAAGCCAATGGACATTTTGGAGCAGATCATGGAGGTGGAATAGAACAGGTAACAGAAGTACCAGGCGTGTTTTGCATTCTGAACACCTTCGATTGGAAGGTCATGGTGGTGGCGGCCTGTTCCATGGCTGATGCCTATGCAGGAAGACGTGGTATAGGCTATGAAAAAGAGCTGAGTGCCACGTGAGTACTTTGGTTGGACAGATGAATCTACTCGTTTGGCTGATTTGTTACTTACGGTTGCAACAACCATGAGCCAGTCATCGAGACCAAAGGCCTTGACCATTCGGACGCGGACAAAGCACCTTAGCAGGCAGGCCAAGACAGCCGTGGTGACAAAGGCAATGTTGACCGCGAGCAGCTCAGGGCCTCTATTGGGGACGGCCATGATAATTATGACTTGGAGGCAGCGGATACTCTAGCAGCAGAGAGCCCCAAAAGCGGGAGGGTCATGGAGCTTGAGGGGACATGCATCTTTAACGTAAGTACACCAAGTAGGGTATGTGGATTGGTCTTTGCCGAGGTGGAGCTGTACTGGGTAGGAAGCAATGCATAACGCAAGCCGCCACGAGAGAGGTGGGTCACTGCACGCGGGCTGGCGATACTGGATCCAGGGCCTGGTCCGTTTCAGGGCGAGGCCATTACCAAGCTGGGTGTTTACCCGTGGAGCTAGGACAGTGGCCATTGATTTGCGCACGTCGAGTAATAATCATGCGTGCCATGCCGTGCCAGGACGGGTACGGGGACGGGGACGAGGCTATAGCGACAATGCTCTACATTCGACATACTGTGTTGGTAAAGGGGACGGACTATCGCACCGTGCCTGCATGTAAGTCAGTATAGTTGTAGTAAGATGATGGGAGGCCTGGACATGGTTGTGCTTCTCACCGGCTGTGTGGTGGCGCTTGTCAGTCAGTGGGCTCACTGTCGACCCGGCCAGCGAATACCTGAGACAACGCCCCTCGTCGGCATCGAGGTCCAAGGCGACGCTTGAGCAAGCTACGCCTCGACCGTTGTCTGTAGTCGTTGGCTGTGTGGCCAGTGGGTGGACGAAGAGCGGCTCCCACAAGGTTTCGCGGGAATGTGGGGCACGTGGACGCTAACCGCTTCCAGGTTAGCACACGAAAATCCTGTCCTCTCCTGCATCGCCTCCCTCCTCTTCCTCCTCTCCCTCGCCTCCCTCGCCCGTATCTGCCGCGTCTTGGCCCCCAGCCAGCCGGCATTCATTCACACAACCCCCGGAGCCATATCCAAAAGCTATCTTCTCCATGCACAGCCGTGCAGTTCCTCCTTACCCGCTGCCGTTTCCACTCCGACCAGTATCATGACTGCTGGCCCTCTGCATCCGGCAATGCTCGACACGCCCAGTTCACGGGAATGCGGCCGCTAGCCATACAAGGCGGTTTGGTGGAGCCACGCTGGCCCACATTCATTGCCTGAGTCCACGTTGCCGTCGATGCCGAGGGACGGATGTTTTGCGCCTTATCAATCCGGCCACACGCAGACTGGCAGTGGATGGCTAGTGGCGCTGCAGAAGCAATGACTGTACTGTGTAGGAGCACGCTACTGTGTATTTAGCACATTCACTTCCTGACTCGTCGCCCCGGCCGCCGGCACTTGGTCTTGGCTCTGCACACACTGGCATGCAACTATCCCCATATCCGGACCATTTGTAACGCTACTCTACTCTCCCGCGCCCAAGACCCGCCGCACGAACTGCCCTTCCTTCGCGGGTGAAACTTAGATTCTGTCAGCACCCAATCCCATCCGCAGATAATTGCCCGATGGCTTTCCATTTGAATTTGAGCCACACTCGCCTGTGGCATGTTTACCGGCTTGTCGGTACAGGGCTTCCCAGGATGAATCTATTCGCTTAACCATAGGCTGAGTGTTGCAAACACTCGAGTGTTTATGGTGACATTCCACCTGGCCGGCCGTGTCATCCTGGCATACAGGGGTTCTGAGAGACTAATACCCATCTGTCTACACAGGAGCCCCAAGTACGTATCCGCGATAGATGTCACCGCGGAACTATGTCTCTCAGACATGCCACTTCCGCTTTCCGGAACGTTCACTGATCTTTGCTCACCACCTTTTAGTCGCCTTTGATCGTCTCTTTCATTGCGACCGCCAATGAATGTCTGACTAATCTTGCGCATCAGTCTCGGCTCGTAACCGAGGAAAACAATGGAGGCCAATCCCCACGCTCGAGTGCCGCGGACGTTTAACTAAGTTAAATGCACATGTTCAAAAGTACCTCATGGCCAACGGCTGCACCATGTTCTCCACTTGTCGAGTGGCTCTTCTAACGGTTCCTGCAACAATGGCTTGCTTGTGCTTGTGCGCCTCCTGCATGGAGCTGCATCGTGGCGCGAAGATCACACAGGTGACCGAGTCTGGGCCCTCTTTGCTCGACCATGCTGGTGACGACATTGCATACAAAATATCTGTGCCGATTGTCTCCGCGCCCCTATCGTCAGACTTTCGTACCTACCGCTCTTGAACGCGGTTTGATATTAACCATCTCCCATCACGTCAGCGTTTCAGACGCAGGACACTGCGCATCCCAGCCACTGCCGGCGTTGACGCTGCCAACGGGCGCACCCAAGTACTTACATGCACCTCAAAGGATCCAGGTTTCGTACGAGATCGGCTGACGCGATATCCAATACCGCACTCAACAAATGCATCCTCCCGCACCAATATCCTCATCATCCAGGGCCCCCTATAACTTGGGTAAGGGTAAAAACACTATACCTTACTAATTGGGGTTAGCGTTACCCTGCCGATGTCGTCTCTATCTTCTGCACCGCACCTGGTGATGCATGCCGATGGGGAAGGTCAGGAACCTGAGCACTTGGTATACTAGCAGCAACCAAGCAAATTCAGTAAAATGCGCCGTTCTTGATTCCAAGCCATGTTATACCTGCACGAAGAGGGCTCGACAAACTGGGTACGCGCTTGAGCCGAGTGATTGCTCGAGTGTCGAGTGGCAAGGTTGCAATCAGCAGACAGAGCCAAGAGCAATAGAGAGCCGAGTAGGGTTTCGGATCCTCAATACAACCGATCTAACATTGGTCTGACACTTTCTCTACGTCCCATGTCAGCGGGCCATTTCTGCCATCGAAAAAGCAACAGTTGCCTCACAACTAGACTTACCGTGTGGGGCCGTCTAGAATCCAGTTCCGAGGCATGACTATGTGTGTGTGTAAACAGGAACTTCGATTCAACGTCCAACAATCAAAGGGGAAGAATGGATAACTGCAAGGCCCCCTTCTTGTCAGATTCGTCCGGTACACTCCCATACTGAAGATGCATGTGGTTGTTTTCTTCTTTTTCTCAAACTTATCTTGCTTTTCTCTTTTCTTATTCAACATACCGAGATACGTACTTGGTATCATTCCATCGCTTCATGCATCTACATTCACACAATCACCCCACGTCCGACCCCCTACACACACCTGTAACAAACGAAACAGGGCATGAGAACATGCATGCATCGGCTCTAACCCCACAATCAGCTTACCCACACATCGTCATCACCACTCGCATCGCATTCAAGCCACTTCCTTCTAGCTTCCGAGGAATACATTCATGCTATACTTACATACAGCATGATTGTGTAGCTAACAATTCATGTAAACCAGAAAGATATCATGGCTTTATGCATGCCATTATGGCATCTAGTATCGTTATGCATACTTACCCTTCAATAAAGGAGCGCAAACTTCGTTTCTTCTATCTTAAAAGCACATTTCTTTTTCTAACAACTCGACCCTTTCTCGGTCAAGTATATCTGCCCAACAAGGAAACGATCCAACATTCAGGCCAATCGTGCATCATATGTCTGTCAACGACACGTTGTTCACAATGTCCTTCCCCTTCTTCTCTTCCTCTTTCTTTTTCTCATCCTTTATTCTCTTCTCTTCCCTCTCGCTATACCGATCCCCAAACAAATCAAAGTGCGGTCGCATAACGAGGGTATACTTGACAAATTCTTCCATACAGTCCACCAATCTATCTCGGTTACCACTCGGCATCAGCCTACTTCCCCCTTCCTCAGTAGCATCCGCATCCGTGAATTGCTTGTACGCCATAGGAATGGAGCTTTGGTTGGGTATCGTGAACATGCGCATCCAGCGGCCAAGTATACGTAGTGAGTTGACAGTGTTGAAAGATTGTGAGCCGCCGTTGACTTGGGCAATGGCGAGGGTGCGACCCTGAGTGGGTCGCACGGACCCCGTGGACAATGGGATCCAGTCAATTTGATTTTTGAAGACAGCCGTCTGTTGTCACCAATCAGCCAGACACTCACCTCCAGACCCCTGAAACCAGATGGCCGACGAAAAAGGGAACAGTTAATAAGCTACTCACAAGATTACCATGCTGCTCAGGACTAACCCAAACATGCCCGTCACTCCACTTGCTCAGTTCGCGCAGCTCTTGTACTTTTTCATGCGAATGCTGCACGTCATCTTTGACAGGGAGCCCGGTGGGATCGAATACTCTCACATCACAGCCAAGTCGGAATAGGATACGACTAGCTTCATAAGCGAGCAGCCGCGAATATGATCTAAATGTTTTATTAACACTGTTAGGAAAGACAAAACAAAATGACTCCAGAGCTTTCAACTTGTTAGGGAAGGTGGCATACCGTTCTCGCATACTGCCGTACAGCACTAGGACTTTGATCCTATCACCACCATTTTTCATCACCTGTTCATCCACCATTTTGAACGCTGTGCTGAGCTCAAGTCTGGTGATCCAATCATCATCGGCGTGTTGGGCATCCAGCAAAAAAGGTCGATATGCTTGGCGAATCGAGGCGTCATCTTCGTGCGCAGGTATTGCAAAAGTCGATTGCCGATACTGAGGATCTACGGCAATTTCTGCTCTTGTGCGTTCCGCCGCTGTATTGTTTAGATCGCTGTTCATGGCGGCGGCAATGGCTGAGCACGGGAATTGCTGTGCGCGCTTTGTTGGAAGCCGGACAGCTGCTTCGCTGAAAAAGATTGTACGTGCGAGTGGCCGGTAGAGCGACATGAAAGAGCTCAGCAGCTAACAGAAACAATCTTTTTTCTGGAATGGTAGTTGCGCAGTATGCAGACCGGGATTGCTGTTCCCCAGATTTGTATAGCGTGTTGGTAATAAGTGATTGATATGTATCTGCCAAGACTTGATATGTCACTCCTGGTCTGCTATTGGTTAATCCGCATTACAGGCGTTGTGGCTCTAGGCCTCAATTTGCAAGCAAACCTGACTTTCAGTCATTAGCACGCCCTCCAGGAATATTTGGGTACAAATATTCATTTGAGATGGTTGCTTCCAGAATAACTAGATAGTGCGTATGTAAGCAGGCCAATGTTTCTTGTGACAGTACCGCCCTATCTTGATGAGTCGTTGAGTTGAAACTAGTGAGATGGAGCAGATTGCTATGAACCCCGAAGTCATTTGGACGACATAATGTATCCTTTGATTTGCGTCTTAACGATCCTATACTTGGTTTGATCGTGTTGCGAACTTATCTTCGGCAGACAGCGACAGGGATGGTCGTGAATACTGGATAAGCAAGGTGCCACAAGATTGTGGCGCTTGCAATAGTCATGGCTTAAGAACACACCAAAAACTTGGGGGATCGATGAGAAATATGACTTGAGCGAGATTGGCTCGGCATCACTGTAGGCTGTGTGAGCAACATTAACTTCATGCGCTTACACTAGGGTTGTTTCAGCTGGTCGCTGCTGTGCACAACTTGGTGGTAAAGTCGAAATCAAGGGCATAGGCATCTTTTGGTGTTGTGGCCATGAAGCAATGATACGTAACGTACACCAAAATGATTGGGGTTCGTAAAGGATATTTCGAGGGAGTATCGACAGGAGGTTTGCATCGTTGAGGCAAGTAAACGTTGTCAAATACCAACACTGCATTAACTGTTTTACATTGCACTCTACGAATCTAGGACACTACCACTTTTTGTTATCGATGAAATCGTCGCTTTACCTTCCACGTTGCATACTTAGTATCTCTTTGCTCCGGCGCTTATTTATTCAGGGGAATCCAACGTTCGCTCAAAGTCCCACCCGACAGGAGCAAATACGAGACGAGATTTATCAGTATCAAACTAGGCGGCAGAAACAGTCATGGTATGCTGTAACTGCCTAATACATGCTTTCTATAGCGTTGCGGACTGAGATGGCAGTAGAATGGGGGATGATGCATAAGGCATAGGTTGTGGTGGTGACACCTCTTATCAAAGTGCGTGTGTTGATCTGCGAAGCGAATGGTTGGCAGATGGGTACGTCTAGCTGACGACTGATGTGACAGCAACGCCGTAAAAGAAACTAGGTGCTGCACAAGGTCACCAGTTCGCCAGCACCACGAATGAAAAGGAATGATTCAAAAATCAGAGATATCGGGAATGGGAAACCAGGACATATCTTGCTCAGCGAGACCATTGCTGGAAATCACAATACATATACCCCAACGATCGCGGCTTGTGTGTTATTTGGCAATACTGGTCCTGGCTCCTGTGCATCATAGAAGAGCTTCATCAATCTGCAAACCAATTGGTTTCTGAGGACTGCGAAACAGCGGCCAGAGAGGGAACAAAAAGCAGAGTCATCATCAACATCGTTCAGAAAATAATTCCTGGTGGACTGAGTTGCAGGGAGGGATCGCTGGGTAATACTGAACACTTCAATTCCTGGCTAGTGAAGGGTTGGAGTTGCATTTTTGGGGAGATGGTAGAAGGCAAATGGTGTAGGCTCGATATGCGAGTTATGTAGATGAGCAACTGAGGACAATATGCAGCGCATCCTCGCTTTTGTTGTGCCAAAACGGAAGTAACTGTCGATATTTCATGTGATGGCTGCATGTGATTGCAGAGCAGGCGATGTGTAGCTTACTCTCTCCTACCGGAGGTGCATCTTGCGCATGTGCGACGAGCAAACTCTCAACGAAACACTAGTCGGACAAAGGTGTAAATGGATATTGCTGCCGACAGAGTCGGGTAGGTATGATTTGGTCGCTCAACTCTTATGGTTTTGCATTAGCCTGTCTACAATGCTAATGCCCATCTGTTCCTCAGCAGAAAGCTGGGGCATGGGCCTCTGCTCAGATGCGAAGCCATTTCTTTGCATGATGTTCTCCATCATGCGTATACCCCGCAATTCCTGTAGTGGTGGGACGTTCTGAAGGCTGTCTGGATCTATAGTGTCGAAGTCGAGGCTGCCTGTAGGCTTGACGGCTCCAGTGACTGTAAACATGGCATGCGGGGTGATGACAAAGTCACACTGGACTTCGCCTGGCCTGGTGGGTTTGATTGTCTCCATGCTGATTCGAGCCTCGTCTACAACTTGGGAAGCATGGGCAATGGCCACGACAGGGGCCTGGTGGCGTAGCACGCCCAGGTCTTGCAGCATTGCCCACTGTACTTCGAACAGATTCTGCCCACCCCAGACACTGACGCCCTGAACGTTGAAGATGAGCCCGCCTATGACGCACATGTCGATCGTAAGACCCTCATCGCGCATCTGGGCGAGCGTGACGGGCCGGCCGGCACCAGCCTTCTCCATGCCATCCAGGCAAGCGGCTAGTTCGTATCTGCTCGCATCGATGCGCCCCGGGTCCAAAACGAGGAAACCCCTGCGTAAGCGATATGTAGCCACAATGAGCCTCTTCCCATCCTTGAGGGCGCGGGCGCGCAAGCATTCAAGGCTATTGTCGGGCATGGCAAGGATGACCTGGGCACGGTGGTAGCAGGGCAGGGCGGTCAAGCGCTCGACGGCAGCAGCAGAGCCTCTGAAGTCGGGCGTAAACGCCATGAAGTCATAGTTGAAGCGCGCATCAGGAACGGCATCCTGGATTAGCTCCTGGTAGACGCGCGACCAAATCAGCCTGGTGCGCTCGTCGGAGGATGCGCTGGCTGCCATTGGAGAGGCCGTGGTTAAGCGGAGGGCGGGCGGCTGGACAGCGCGCAAAGTCTATTTGCTCGTTTCTGTATGTAAGTACCCAAGTATGTAAGTACGCCCAGGGCTTCTTATTCTTATCTCTATCTTGCTGGGGAAAAAAATGAACAGGCCAGATGGGCGAGGGCCTGGGTTAAGACAGCGACAGCGACGGCGACGGCAGCGGATGACTAACCCTTCCGTACCCCATCTGCCCACTACCTCCAACTTCACACAGCCAAGTGGCATCGGTTTGGCGATGCTCGGTGCAAATCTAGGACCGTCGGACGCTACCATGGCTCGCTATACATTCCTCAGGCAGACTTTTTCGCCTCCTTGCCGGAGTGTTCCGGACAATCGCTTGCCGGGAATAGTAACCCGCCTACACCGGCTACATGGTTTGTTGCCGAACACTTATATACATACGTATCTAGTATGTTTGCACAGATAAGCCAATCCATGCTCGGCGAACTGGCACCATCGATCCACCATGAATGAGATCCCCAGCCAGACCCCCACGGCCCTTTTGACAACCGACCGCGCCATGCGGATCGACAGGGCGACGACAAATACCAACAACTCCACCCATTCGGCCGCTATTCACCATCCAGTCCTGGACAAAGCCAGCTCCGAACGGCTCTCGCACAAGGCCGACGAGTCCCAAGCCACCAAAGAAAAGCTTACAAATGCCGCGAAGACGCTCCACGTGCTGATATGGTTCGTCAAAGACCAGTGGTTCCTCCTCGCCATGGGCGCAGTCGTCCTGGTGTCGTCCCAAGTCCAAGTGCCCGCTTCACAACAGCGGATTAAGCGCACACTAATCACCTACCTGGCTGTCTCCGTCATCTTCTTTATCAATGGCTGCACCCTCGACACCCGGGTCATGCTCGCCAACTATATGCGCTGGAAGCTGCACATCTTCGTCCAACTCCAGTGCTACCTCGTCTGCTCCGCTGCCACCTTTGCCATTGTCAGTTTGTGCGCCACCAATCCCCGCTTCATGGACCCATGGCTCCTCATCGGCTTCTTGTTCGTGGGCAGCGCGCCGACTACCATGTCTAGCAACGTTGTCATGACGCGCCAAGCCCATGGCAACGCCGCCCTGACTGTCGTCCAATCTGTAATCGGCCAGTTTCTCTGCCCCTTTCTGACTCCAATCATACTCCAAATGTACCTGTCTACCGGGTCGTGGTACAGTAAGGTGTTGCAGCGCGGATCTAGCTACGCGAGCATCTACCAACGTGTCTTTATGCAACTTGGTCTCTCGCTTTTTCTGCCCATGCTTCTCGGCCAGATCGTGCAGCGCTTGTTTCCCAGGACGACGAAAAAAGTCTTTTTCGACTGGAAACTGCTCAAGCTGTCTTCGATTGCCCTGTTGACCATGGTTTGGCAGACATTCGACCAAGCCTTTTCGTCGGGTGCCTTTGAAGCGGTCAAATCCTCCAATATCGTCTTCATTGTCTTCATCACCATTGCACTCTACATGATCTGGTCAGCCATCTGCTTCACAGCTGCTTCGCTCTGGCTACCGAAAAAAGATGTCATCGCTTGCTGCTATTGCTGCCCCGCTAAAGCGCTGGCAATGGTAGTTCCGCTTACATCAGTCATGTACATCAACATCGATCCTGTCAATCAGTCCAAGATGCAGATCCCAGCAATCATCTTTCAGGCCTTCCAGGTTGCCATTGGAGGTATCATGACTATCGGCTTTCGCAAGTGGATAAGGCCAGAAGAAGAGAGGGAGGAGGCGGAGAAGCTAGTCGAGGCAGGGGTTAGAAATTGAGTCAATACCTTTGGTTATATCCTCACAGCTTCCTTTCATGCATATCATCATCTATATCGAACTTGCACATGCTTCTGCCTCTCTGCCATGCTTATTGCCTGACAGATAAGTCTCCACGGCTGGCTACTATCCTTTACTCTATCGCTTTGCTTGTTCCCCTCACTGATACAAAGCCCATGGCGCTTCACTCACTTTTGGTCCACCTACTCGTTGTATAAAACCCCACGACCATGTTCCCTCTTGTCGCAGCTGGCCCACACGTTCTCGGGGAAGGCAACAGCATCCATGAAGGACCGATTCAAGCCATTAGAACTTCGTGCCCAAAAAAGGCAACTGTATTGATTAGGAGGATCACTTACGCATTTGCACAGCCCCGTGAAGCCTTCGCAAGGACACTCCGCGCACGCTATGGCTACGTCGGCACCATCCTCGTTGCGCAGTTGCTTGAAGGAGCGCTCAACGCTAACCTGTTTCGATTTGTCGGTTTAGAACGATATTTTTCGTGGAAGAAGAGGGAATGTATAAACGTACTACAGCGGGGGATGCCTGTGCCATTGACGCAGCGATTGCTGTGATAACGAGGGAGACTTTTATCCTTGCGAAGATGACTTCTAGAGGGGTAAAACTGAGGTAATGGCTTGTTCAATAACAAAAAAAGGTCCATTGTAGCTACCGCTAGATAATGGGTAATGGAGTGTCGTTGCAGTGGCAACAGTTCAGCGCCTTTTAAGGGTCCACTTTCAGTGAATGGTAATGTTCATAACAAATAACGCGAACAAAATGGTAGTGTGTTTACAGTCACTAATAAGGTGCAAATTACCCGCCCAGGTGAATTATTTCAAGTGAAACATGTCGATGATATCACAAGTTACGCTAGTCGATAGATAGAGTCTACCTAGAGGTAAGGTCTGAATATAGTAGTAGATAGTTAGAGATAGATGTATAGTTAGGTTACTAAGAGTTAAGTAGATATTAGGTTAGATAGTGATTATATAAAACCCAATTTTTATCTCTGTCTTACTATTAGTAATCTTATCTTTCTATTTATTCTACTTCTAGTTATTTAACTACTAGTATTATTTGTTTATTATACTAAGAGCTAGCGAAATGCAAAGACGTGCCCCGCTGCGTAGTAGTAAGTTACTAACTATCTATTTTTAGAATAATAGGGTGAGGCATAGTCGTAGAACATTCATCAAACATAGTGTAACAGTTTTTATTACTATTGGCTATAAAAATATTGCTTAAATTAGAAATGGTAAAGTAATCTACTACTTAGTTGTATGTAAGGTAAGGGAATAAATTATATTTACTTATAGTTTTACTGACGATTTAGTAGTAGTTAATCGTGGCGGGGTGGGAGGAGACGAAGGAGGAGAGGGAGTATATATAGGAGCTATAGCCTAAGGGGCGGTAGTAGGAACCTAAACGCGGGCGAAAGCGTAGTGCTAATTTACAGGGAATAAGAAGAGTAGGAAAAGCGAGCTGAGCGAGGACTGTGGTGCGGTGGGCGACGTTAGACGAAGGGAGTGAAGGAGAGCGTAGAGAGGAGGGAGAGAAGGAGCGATAGGAAGAGAGGGAAGAGAGGGAAGAGAGGGAAGAGAGGGAAGAGAGGGAAGAGAGGGAAGAGAGGGAAGAAATAGGATTACAGTTAGCATTTGAGCAGTAGAGACGGCAGCGGCAGTGAGTAGTGATGGAGAAGTGGCGGTCAGGGTGTCAGTAGTGTGTAGCGAGTGGAGGGGATGGGCGGGGGGTACGGATAGGAGAAGTATGAGAACTGTGAGGGTCGGGAACATCCAAGGAGACTACAGATACTATAGAAGAACTAGCAGATTATGCTATATTTGTACCACCATGGGTGCTAGCTACTGTAGGCAGTATGCGAGAGTCTTATGTTTAATATGTGGCGGGGGGGTTAGTATAATAGGGTACTAGATAAGGTATTTATCATTAGGTTGATAAAGGTACAGTGGGCGGTGTAGGAGGTAATAGAGCGGGCGATTAAGAAGAATAGTGAATAGTGGACTGCTATTTCGAGTGGATAAAGAGGAGATTAGAGGGCTAGAGGCGTGGGCACGGTGGGGAGCGAGAAGAACCGATTAGGAGAAATTAAAGAAATTAAATTAAGCTAGATGATTAGGCAGGTAGACGAGTGTATTCTAATCTAAGGATAGAAGTAGAGATATTATGTAAGCCGAAACAGAGAAAGGGGTAACGCGTTACCCGCTAGACTAAAATGGCTAACGAAATAAGTACGAGAGAGGAAATGAAATAGCAAAGCCCGAACTGAAACCTGTTTTTGTTCTAGTTCCCACCGTTGACTAAGCCTATATAGGGTACTTCTAGGCTTATAGAACAGTATATCTCTTCGTTTAGCAAAGTGCATTAGATAGAGTTTACTAGAAACACAACGGCCGGTTGCATTAGAAATTCTAGATTCCTAACCAATGCACTTATCAATGCAGATAGAATATGCAGAAGTAGCAAGCCTAATACATCCAGCGAGTATAAGGGAAACTGGAAGAGTTAAAACGCCTGAGCTCAAAACCTCCTCGCTTAACGCATTCCCGGAGCAAATTGCGACGGCGGAAGCCCAGGCAATCGAACAGGCACCTGCGCAACGAGTGCACTGTGCCTGAGGTGTCAAGTTACATTGGAGCAATCTACGACCGTGAGACGCATCACGGGAGGCTCTGGCGTTGTTGATAGCCTGGGCGACCTGAGCGCGAGCAGCAGGACTCTGCGTTCCTGCAACGCGCTTCGAAATCTTCCCAGGTTGTTCGGGAGTCAAGGCATTCTTAATCCCTTGCTTGGTGTTTTCAAGAAATTGAAGCTTAATATCATCATCCCATGCAGAGCAGTCGGTAGTATTGGCCTGTGGAAACTATTGAGTCCAAAGCGAGATATTGAAGTTGGCGAGGCTGTCCACCCTTCCCAGATTTGTAATATCAGCAGGGGTGACTGAAAGCGCGGTAGCGACAGAAACGATATCAGCTTGGCTTGGGGCAGCTGTTGCAGTGAGGGCAGTGCTGGCAAAGAGAAGAATGGTTGACATATGCGTCTTGGAGATTGATGAAAGCTTTAAAGCGTCTCGCAGGTAAGAGATGGAAAATAATAGTATAGAGTAGATAATGTAATGTAGATGGATAGATATAGTTGTAACCTTGGGACTGGGCTTTTATATCTCTGATGACGGCTAGCTAACGGTTATAGATGCCTTTGATCTGCTGGCTTACTCGACTAGCCATCTAAAACTAAATGTACGGTGAGGATGCTCATTCTACCCTATACAGGAATGGTTTCTACCTTGGCGTCATTATGTTATATCGGCAATTCTTCGAATAGACTCATCTGGAATGATTCGGCGGTATTTTCACAGTGAATGACGGCAAGGACACTACTATTCCTAGATCTAGTGAGCCATTTAAGATGCAAAGGTAATACGTACTTGAACCGACATTCAGCCTTAAGAGAATATTACGATATCTCGCTATACTTTCCACTCAACTAGTGTTACGAGTAATGAGAAGGATTTTATCACTGTGTAAGCTTACAGGCCGGAAGGACAGGCATATTTACAGTTCTATTACTATAGACTCGTCAATAGACTCTCACGATAGGAAGTATAAAGGAGTAGACAGGACATAGCTCGAGGGGCTATACGGGCGAAGTTGCAGCCGTTTTGCAGAATCCAGGTGCTCGAGCCCACATCCGGATTCTATTTGCAGTCAATCAAGGCATTCGACAGCGCCAACTATGAGCGGGAACGTCTATGTTGGAGGGTGCATCGACTGCCCTTTCCCTTATGTCCAGGGTGGATCTGGGTATGGTGGATGCCTTTTGTCGAAGGCCTAGGGCTAGGGCTACAGATTATGGTCAAAAGGGAATTACGGTCGGATGGCGCGTTTTACCCTTGACCATCGACCCACCAGTTCGCAGTAGCGAATACAGTCACAATCATCTGAGGGCCTCTTTGGTTGCGCGATTACGTTCTGCGGTTGCTGTTTACTCAGTCTGATTCAGGCAGAGTTTTAAAACCACAGCTCCAAACGCTATATTATTTAGTTCAGCTCACCCTTTTACACTATTAATCTTACTATAATTTTTAAGCATCGTTTTAGTAAAAAAGAAAATTTCTTACACTTATCTTATAAATGTTATATACTTTATAGGGAAATTTCTATGCTCCCAGTAGGTTGGGGTGTGACCTGCCATTCTTTTCTAAGAAACAACATTCTAATAAGCTTTACGCCAAATGGATGACCCAATTTAAGCCATAAGGAAACATCCAAATATAATTTAGATACATAGTAAGGAGAGTAGTGGTTAGCTACGTTTTTGCTCGTGCTATATATCGAAAAATAACTACTAAATAAGTTATCGAGATAGCTATAGCTAGTGTGGCAGCTGCTATAGCGCTAGCGTTTGCTACCAGCGATATATATCCCAACTAATATATAGCGGCGAAAGGGGTCTAACTAATACAAGGCGTGGGGTAGGCCCTCAACCGTGGTGGATTAGCCTTCTAGATAGAGAGTTTGGCTCCGGCCTTCTAAGACACTTCTGTCTAAAAAATTCTAAGATCTTTTAGAACTTATATTATAGCAATTACGCGTATTTAATTTTAGTTTTATATATCAGCACTATTTCTCCTAGCTTTTAATACTATTATTTATCTATATAAATAACATATTTCTTGTACTAACGTATTCTACTATCGAGAGGCCTGCTCTATTAAGAGAGCTACTTTTTCTTAGTATCGCCAACTTTATATATAAAAACTTAAATTACTCTATACTAGCTATAGATATATTATATAACTTATTTATATCTAATTAAGAATCTTCTTATATATTTTTTTAATATATATAAGTATTATAGCTTATCTCTCTATAGATTCTATAGTATTATTAACTAGACTAGATCTTTTTATAACTACTCTTACTATACGTCTTCTTTACTTACTATATAACTAGTAGTAGTATTTTTAGCTATCTATAATACTCTTATACTAAGGTCTAGTATTCTATTTATCTAAATATACTTTCTTTTACGCCTTTAGTACTTTATTATTTTTATTAATTACTTTTTAAGATTTTATATATAGGCCTCTATTACTATATTTTTATATAATATCTCTTGAGCTTTTTTAATTATCTTTTAAAAGCTTTTTTATATAATAGTTAGTAATTATATAAAAAAGTTCTTCATAAGCTTTAATTATAATCTAAATATATATAAATTATTTAGTATTTTTAACTACTAGAATATTTCTGGTAAAGCTTATTAGATGTAAGGGGCTGCGCTCCGGGGAGCAATCGCGAGGTATACAAGAGGTTGTATTCGATAAGGAGCTATCTACTCTGCTTACGTGGTGTTTGTTTACTTGTCGGAGAAAGGTTATGCCGGTGTATCTGAGCGCGTTGTCTGAGCGCGCTGCCTGAGCGCCG